ATTTTGATGCCATAAATTCTTGACTTTTCATTAATAAATTCTTGATATATAAATTTTGCGTTTGTATATCCATCAAAACAGCAAACTACAAGCTTTACACATCTTGTGAACGTGTGAAACGAAGGGTGTGATGACGTCATCGTTTTTATTATGGAGGACAGTTCTAATATCGAAGGAACGGACTCGCTGCACCCCGCTGCTCGTTCCTGCTGATTTAACTCGGGGCGAGGGTCGACGGAAATATCTTCAGGGTGATCTTTATTCGATGAACATAGCAGTTGCTTTAACACGAGTTTCGTCAAAGTTTGATTTCACGAGATTTCTAACGAATTTGAGAAAATTAGAACAAATTTTGAAGAAAGAAAAAACTGCATTGAATTTTAAAGATCGATACGATTTATTGTACGACGTTTCACGAGACATTACATATAAATTTACCGCTTTCGCTTGACGAACGAGCGCACAAATTGAGAGTATGAAGTGCAGTGAGACTTGGTGCTATCACTGATAATTAATTGATTAATGATCGTTGACAATTATTGTTGGCGAGCAGCAAGGTGATTCCCGGTGCCGATTCTGACTGCCTCGCTCGCGCGCAATATTGATCAAGCTGCGACGAAGACAGGCGTGAAACGAGTCTCTTCGAAGTAGTTCTGAGCACTTTTATCCAACAATATTATATCAAAACCTCTTATCGAATAATCACAATAGATATCACAAGGAAAGGAGAAAACTTTGCAAAAATTAATACTTGGCACTTTAATATTGAGGTATCGAGTATCAAGGAACTCTTAGGCCTTTTCGTATTTCTTCCTAAAGCTTAAATATCCGCGTTCGCCAGAGAAATGCGAGAGAAAAATGAGTGAGAATTAACTTACTGTTGCAATCTGTCGTTATCTTTTTCCTTCAAACGATATAAACGCCGCTAATGAGGAATAAGCGTCCTTTCAAGGGTACCTATGTGTCTTTTCGATTTTCTTTATGGTGCGTTAGCTCGAACACGACTCTTCAAGCCTAGTTAGATTTAACTCGAGCGGAGGAAGTGCCCCCAAACGTGTCCCACGCGATAAAATGTCACTTTAACGTAGCTAATTTCGCTTACGATAAAAATAATCGTGTGATAAAAACAAAACGTTTCACTCGCAAAACACATAAAACATTACACGTATATGTCCACTCACAATTTTATGGGTGAAATTATTATGTTCACAGATTTGTAATTTATTTGTTGCTAAATATAATAAATATTTTACTGAGTAATAAAAAAAAAAATTTTATACGATCACAGAAAACATTCAAGATATCTTCAAGTTAGATTAGACTCTTTTACGCGTCTCTCATCGCGCCAGTACTAGATTTCCATCAATTCGTAACTGACATTGGAAATGCTAGACTGAAGAGATCTCAGTTTCCATTGCCAAATACAATTGATCAGTAGCACTGCTTTGGCTGGAGAAAGCGCGCAATCAAGTTTATGCGGAATGTCGTCGCGACAAAGAAATGCCATTTTCTCGCGTGCCAAATAAATATTTCCTCGCGAATGAGATAAAGTTAAGTTTTTGGCGGTCGCTGTATCTCTATCGACTTTGTGGTATACAAAATGCAAGACGATGGTGATACACAGAGGAGGCGGGATATAAATATCTCGGCCAGGCGATTCCTGAGAGCGCAGCGCGCCGGGCTTTTCAGCACGTTGCTCCCGTAACGCATAAACGTCGATATAATTTATTCAACCTGTCGTTAGTAGTCTCAACGACTCATATCCTTCCCTTATCAGTGACCCAAATATGGGCTCCCCCCCCTCCCTTTCTCTTTTTCTCTCTGCTGATCAAGCTTTCACGCTTTAATTAGCCGCGCGTAGCTAATAATCCGCCCACGTTCGATGTAGATTATTTTATAACTAAAAATGGATAAATTAACAATTAATAATTTCAACATCCTACAATTTTTATTTTTATTTTATTTTTTATAGAATCAAAATTAACAAATTCGTTAATCCTGAATCTATAAAAAATTTGTCAAATAATTTTTTGTTCTTATATTTTACTTTTATTAATTAAGAGAATATCGTTATCAGAAATTTTTATCTTATGAGAAAAATGCGACTTTAATGTAATTTCGAGAGAGTGGGGAATGACATTTTACAGGGAAAATGGAATTCGAGATGCACGTGTTCGCGATTGCAAAATCGTGGCACGTTGCCGCATTAGCATAAACTCTTTGTTGTCGATGACGATGCCTAGCCGGATTGTACCGTTCGATCGCTCGATATCGCTTCTAATGCGTCGCTATGCGACTCTCTTTGGTGTATCATATTGAACAGTGTTTAGACTGTCGTAGGAATCTCAATCTCAATTGTTTCGTATCAGATTTTACGAAATAAACAACGGTGCATGTCGAAAATAAAAAGTAGTAAAAATAAACCATTTGTATCGATTTCAAATATCTAGCTTTCTCAAATTTTTTGAAAGGAAAAGTTAATTTTAGATCAATAAAAGGTAAATCTTGCGTGTACGGAAGGCGCGAAGAAAAAAGCAGATAATAAAATCTTGGAAAGAAATTGATCAAAGTCACGAAATTACATCGATTTGTATGCAGGGGGTAGTGACCTTGTCTTTCTTGCGTACATGGACTCGTTTTATGCGTGACCATATGGTCGGCATATGCACTCGCCGCTCTTGCAGGCACACGTGTGCACTGGGATGCAGTCACGAACAAGCGTGAATAATCGATGGAATCGTTGTGTCTTAGTCATTGTCATTCGCCATTGCCGTTGTCGTTCAATGCATTTCGGTTCAGTTTATTATTGACCATAGGAGAATTCCTATCTCGAGTGTTAGGCGTCTTTCTAGTATTATAATTGTATTTTTACTTGCCTCAAACTGCATAGGATTAGAGAGACTGTAGAAGCTAAAGGTCACACATGACTCATTTGCGGTTCGCTTAGGCAAGACGAAAAAATTATTTTCCTTTCATTTGGATATTTCGAAATGTGAAAATTTAGATTTGCGATACGAATTTTATTGTTTCGATTGTAAACTACACTCAAATAATGTTGATATTTTTAATCGTGTTCAATTTTATCTAAAAAATTATAGGATGCTCCAAACTTTTAGTGGAATTATTTTTTTAATAGAACTACAATTAGTGAAATATTTTTTGGAAAAATTTCCTTGCACATTGATATAAAACTAATAAATAACATCTGAATGTGAGAAAAAAAATGAGATTAAGTTAATGCAAAATATGTTTATCGAAGACCGCTAGAGTATCGCGTTAGCGTCACTGCAGACGCACTACCTGACGTGGTTGAATGCAATGTAAAATAGGTGCAACGCCGGCCGGCTGACGCATTGCAAGGAGCGAAGTAAGTCTTTCCGGTTTCTACTCGGCGACGGTGCGACGATGCTGGTAGTGATGGTGCGAAATCGCCGTATTGCGGTATAGTAGTAGTGACCTTCCTGCCTCAGGATACTGCCTACCTTATGCAAGCCTCGTTGCACGTGCGGCAGCGTGGTTGCGGTTTCATTCACAACGAGCACGCGCCCCGAACTCGCTGCACACGATTCCTGTTAGCATAGATGCTTAAATTTAATTTCAATACTTGTTCGGATACCGCAATATTGACTTGTATACACGAGATGCAGAAAGCATCGAGAGACATAGTTGTGAGTCTCGCACTCGCAACTGATGTAGCAAAGTTGACAGCTATATGCAAATGTTACGAAAAGGAGACGAATGACATCTCTGACATAATTATAAAAAAGATTTATTTGGACAAATATTAAAACTACAGTTGATAACAATTTTAAACTGAAATAAAAAGCAAGAAATATTAAATGGCATAGCTTCAATAAAAATAAAAGTAAAAGAAAAGAAAGTTTCCGGGAAAGAAGACACGGAAATAGGTGCGCCGTGCTTTCAAGTACAATACCTTGAAAGGATATTATTAGCTACGTCGAAGACTTTTCATAGTCCTCTTCGCAGGTGTAACATCTGGCAGGGCAATTTTATTCACGCACTTGACGGCGCCTAATTGCTAATTACGAAGCACAATAGCGTCGTCGAAGTTGTCATGTTTGGTCACGGTCGTATCACTGACCCTGGGTGGATGTCTTAAACGATGTTTGCTGGCGGTCTCTATTGTGTCGGCATTTGCCTGCTGCGTTGCTTCGTTAATCTCGAAGCAGTATCTATTAAACCCGTTTTGATTGTACAAAATCTCAGGAAACTATTTAGCAAATAGGCTGCAATAATATTAATTAATACTAATTATAAAATAATTATCACATAAACAAGCCTCTTTAGATTTACGTAATAACTATTACTTGTAATAATAAAGCAAACTTGAAAAATTTATTTAACTTTAGGAAAATCCGTAAATTTTAAGCTGTGAGCATGTGCAACTCTCAAACTTAATCTGTAAATTGCAATGGAATTTGCTTGCAAATTACTAATTGACTCTATGTGTTTGCAGCTACTAGGAACTACGTTTGCAATATTATTTATAACCGTAGAATAAACCGGAAAAAATCAAGTGATAATCATAGCCAACATCTTGCCAAAGGCAGGCAGTGATAACATATCGTTATCACGTATGACGTTCGGTCGCAATTACGTAATGCGTGTGTACACCGAGCGTACATGAGAATGTCTGCCTTAATGCGTGCAATAGCAAGAATCGCGGAGAAGTGAGATACAAGCGGACGTTTTGCAACGAGATAGGAGGAAGCGAGCGATGAGATATCACGAATTTACGCGATTCTTCAAGTATCGAACTGAATCAAAGATTTACTTTTTTGCAATATATTTCTGCTCGACTCTTTCCGGATTAAAGAGCTGTCCCGATATATTGATAAACTTTATATAACAAAGTTTTCAAGATACTGAATATTTTAAATATTTCGATAAGATTAACGATACATCGCGGAAACTCACGATTACACAATTGATATCCGACGTGACAACTGATTTCTGAACAATAACTTTGTATGTTTCAGGCATCGAGAGAACGGTGAGTGAGTTACCGGGAGGAGGAGGAGCCAGGAACGAGCAGCCGGCAAGCCGAAGATGCCGCTTCCGAAGCGACTGGTGGAACCCGTGCACGTAGCGCGCGGTACTATCCCCGAGGAATTTCCACTGCCGTCGGAGCTCGAAGCAGCCACCAACGGCACTCTAGCCAACACTATCAGACAGCTATCTAGTCTGTCGAGGCACGCCGAGGATCTGTTCGGCGAGTTGGCGAGGGAGGCACACGGATTGAGCGATCGTGCCAACTCCCTGCAAGCTAGGATAGATCGCTTGGCCGTCAAAGTCACCCAACTGGACAGTAATGTCGAGGAAGGTGCGTAGAATGTGCTCATTTTTTTCAAATTTAAGACTGTAAATTTTATATAATTTTAGTTGTTTTCTGATAGAAATTATTTTTGACCTATTTGCGATAAAAAATAATGAAGAAAGTGAAGAAATGAAGAGTTAAATAACATTAAGATCTTTCAATTTTCTGCGCAGTTTCGTTACAAGATATACACATGAGAAAAGCTTTCAAGAGCTCAGTGGTATTCGACCAACAAGTCGTCTCCAGAGACACTATGCCGACAGCGATGCTGGAGACGTATCACCAGTGCGACACGCCGCCGCCTCTAGACAAGCTTAATATTTACAGGTAATTAGCGACATTGTTTAATGTTTCGTCGATTTAAATGGTTTAACTCGAAGATGATGGAGCTGCGGATTATTACCTTGGATTATTACTTTTAGAGAGGACGGCAAGGATGGCTTGAAATTTTATACCGATCCGAATTACTTCTTCGATCTGTGGAGTCAGGAGATGCTCAAGGACACGGAGAAGAAGCTGCACGATCGAGGGAAGAAGGTAGGAATCCTCGTACAATGATACTTTCAAATATCTCGCACACCTCGATAACTGTTGTACGATATTTATATTATTATAATAATTATACTATCGCAATATGAACTTAACTGACTATAAAGTAACGAGTACGAATCAATAGAGTCTAATTCTTTGGCCTTCAAAGCTGTCGGGGTGTGCAAGCTCGTAGGTTCAACTAGTTTTATACGATTACTTAACGTGTCTCTAATGCTGCGATTCTAACTACTGAATTACTGTCCCCTTCGTTGTAGAGCGAGTCTGAATATGCCGAACCGTTCAGAGAGGCAAGTCGATGGTTTGGATCTTTGTAGTTTCTTTTTAATCTCTCTCTTACCCTTCCACGAAACATCCAAATAGTATCTCAATCAGCGAACTGATCGATGGTCACCAACCAACCACTCTCCACTCTCATCGCATAATCACCTTCTTTCTGTGGTTTTTTTTTTTTTTTTTTTTCATTAACCGGCCTCCTGGCGCGCTGAACATAGAGACTGACGTTAGATGCTCGCTTTCTCAAAATTTTGTAGTTACGCTAACAGTCACGTTTTTTGAGTGGTGACAATGTCACTTTGCGTAGATCGAATGTGATAAATTTTTTCACCAAGGTCTAAGTTTGTCGACTTCCTCGACGACGAAACGGAAGGGAGATGCGCAAAAGTTCCATCTACGCAAAGTCTGATCTTGACTCAAAGTCCCTCCCATTCTACCATAAATTGAGTTTGTGTTTTCTTGTGAAACTCGAAACAACGTCTCTCACTTACCTATCGTCACTTATTTGTAGATTACTTGTGTAATGCCGTTCTTTGCCAGTTTCATGCAAGTTTTGAATGAACTTATATAGAATATAAATTCATCATTCATCGAATCATCTTCGATCGTCACCGATATTCCTGTGATCTTTCGATCGCCTCATCGTACATTTCAGGAATGGAAATCTCATCTCCACTTTGTCTGTTGTGTAGGAAATAAAATTGTTGCCCGAAACTCAACTGATTATTTTTTAACGACAGATTTTTATTGAAATTTTAATGAATATTTAAGTCGTGTTTAATAATTCTTAATAGTCATTTTTACAGAGCTTTACTTTTTTGTTTCCTACACACATATATATATATTTATGTCCCATTTAACGATTGATCCAGTAAAGATAAATTTGGCTAGTAAACGATGTTTAAAATAATATTTTTGCGCTTTCTTAGAATACACAAACTCTGTTGAAATTCAGTGAAATAGAACGTTGGATGACTCGCTGGATCAGTCGCGTCGGGATGTTTTTGATTTAAATCGATTGTGCTTGACTTACATACGATGCACCTTGATCACCGTTCCTTCTGCACTGTACGTTTAAATTAAATCATGTCTTTTTGCAAAATAGCCGCACAGGCCTCGGAACGAGGGTGGTGGCGGAGGTGGAGGCCGACACAAGAAGCGTGTGAGGCAGCCGCATAACACGAGGGAACGGCAACGACAACTGGCCGTTGGCCATGGCGAGTATATTATGCCGACGCAAGCGGTGCAGTACAGGACGCCGCACAACGTGCAGCCCGATGACGGACTATTGGGCATGGTGATGACGGAATCCAGACCGCCCAGGCCCAATAGCATCGAGCTGCGACGAAGCTATCCGCCGGAGGAGCAGCACCTCTACAGTCCGCCGTCTTCCGATCACTACAGGTAGGAAACCTGATAATAATACAATTAAAAAATGCTAAAATTAAAACGAAATTATTTCAAAATAAGAAAATCACTCGATAATTAATGAAAATAATCAGAGAATAAATGATGCACAAGTGAGTAATGAATGAGATTTTGTCATTACAGGGCAAACTACGTGGCTCAAGGCTACGACGACAATCCGTACGGCTCGCACTACATCCCGGGCCAGGCGCCGGCTGGCGAGATGTATCAGAGTCCGGGCGGTCAAAGCACTCCGAGTCGTGGCGGTAGATCGCGACCGTCGCAGCCGCCGCCGGCACCACCGAGCAACGCTTCCAGCAATTCCACGCCCACGGTGGCCTCCGCGAACAACACTCCCACTAGGGGAAGATCCATGAGCACCGGCAGGGATACTTTGCCACCGCCACCCCCGCCGCCAGGAGAAACCATGTCTCCTCCTTCCATGAATGGTACATTAATTATGTTGATTCTCTCAATATCTATTACAATAGTTGCATTTAAGAGACTCTTTCTCGTCTATCTTCTCTTCAGTCTCTAATGTTTACAAGTGTAATAATTGTTTCGAAGAGACGAGACAACGAAGAAAAATAACTTATGCGATGTTTGTTAATATTGCAGGTTCCATACCTTCACACTTGCTAAACAGGAGCGGAAGTCGGTCGGATAGTCCTCTACCAAGTCAGCGCTCGACACCGACGCCACCGAACCATACGGGTCAACTGGGTGCGGATGAGACGGACCCGGCTGTAGCCCAGGATCTTCCGCCACCTCCACCCACTCCAGATCCAACCCCACCGAGACCCATCTCGCCTCCGTGCAACATCCCACCACCACCACCGCCTCCACCTCCACCGCCAGTCCTGAATGGGCCTACGGCGCCGCTACCGCTGACGAACGGCGACATTGCGAAGATGATCGCGACCAATCCGCCGAAGCTGAAGCCTCTCAAGAGCATTGTAGACGGTCAGCTGAGGAAGCCTGTCAACCCGAATATTCCGCTGGTTGACCCACGAAACGACTTGCTCAAAGCGATTCGCGACGGTAAATTATTTACGCGTTTTCTGCTTTTTAATATAAAAAATGCATGGATTCTTGCATTCCTATCTTGAGATGAATATTGCTTCATTCGAGCAATCGCTTTCCAGGAATAAAGTTGCGCAAGGTGGAGAAAATCGAACAGAAGGAGGTGGAACGCGTGAACGCACTCAACGACGTCGCGTCTATTCTGGCGCGTCGCGTCGCTGTCGAATTCAGCGACAGCGATTCTGCGTCGGAGAGTGAGTGCGACAGCGAGGGCTGGGGCGAGCAAGAGAGCAATCTGGCGTGACCCAACTCTCTGCTATCCGCTGCCGCCACTGCCTCGTAGGAAAAAACGGCTTACGATTCTCTCGCTTGGACGCTCGGACGCCGATTCGAATGTTCGCCGGCGCTATAGCGAGCCAATCTGTTCGTTTTGTGTCTCCGTGGCCGATATCTCATTTTCGAGGATCTGTTCGAGATGTTCGTGCGCTTTAATCTTCATATATTTCGTGTTCGGATAATTTCTGGAACTGGACCGAAGTAAGTCTCCAATTATTTATAAGAATACGATTCTGTACGATTCTCCCAACGAAGATTATTTGCCACGGAGGATATGTTGCAAGAATCTTATGGTTTAATTTATTATTGAACAAAATTTACATTTCTGTGTTTACGTTTGCTCCTTTCATCGCATTGTTAATGCGAGAAAAATTGAAGAGACATCGAGATATTCTTATTACAATTAGTTTATTAATCTTCTGCATTGAGAAATGCGTTTTATAAAAACGCAAAAAATATTTTCTTACGTACAAAAACGGAAAAATATCTAAGAAGAATTCGTGAAATCAATTTTCTGCGTTCTAACGATTTTGTGGAATTATCACCTATGACATTGTTTATTTAAGTCTCGCGAGTCAATCTGTAATATTGAATTGGCTGGTCAGCCAATTAGTCGACAAAGCAATAGTACCGTTTAGTTTAATCACTCTCGCAAATTGTGGCCAATTTGATTGCGACTTTCGCGTAACTTTTGCCACGATGAATCGCGGTGTCGAGAGTGCAGCGAATGGCAATTCATGAATTTGCAAGGGCACACAACGCGAGGTTCACGCACTAAGTTAATAGTCTAATTTATAGATGCTGTTGGTTCAAGTTATAAATTCCGGTGGACAGAAAAGTCCTGGAAGAAACAGCTGACAGATTGAACGCCATGTTTGAAATCTTGAAATTCTACGCTTTCCATTAAAATGTCTTTTGCGCATTTCTGGCTTGCATGGTCATCTCAAAAGTCAACAATTTAGATATATCGATATTGAATATAAAATCTTATTGATATTTTATAATATTATTAATTATTGTGTAAATGTATTCATCAAAGATATAAATTTCTATAAATTTTCGAAATAAATATGTAAGAAATATTAAATGAAAAATATTAAACTAAATACATATTTGTAAGCGGGAATTTTGCTGTTTATAATTGCTACGTAATTCTGATTCTATTAGTCGTGTAGGGAGAATGATGGCGTTCGAGCTGTCGGCAGAATACGCACATAGAGAAAGTGAACATCGACTTGCCGAAGTCGTGGCTCATCAGTTAGAACGACCTCTTTTTCGGCACATTCCATAACGATGATGTATGACGACTGTTCACACACACGTACACACACAACGGACACACGTGCGCGTATGCGCACGATATAACGATAACAATAACGATAAAAGTAATAATAATATATAAACATCTCTACTTATCCCATAGACGAGCGCTCCGTGTTAATGCGTACATTACTGATAAATCGACGCAAGTTGAACCAAAAGTTGTGCCGGGATAGGTAGCACAGGAGTCTCTGTGAGATAAATCTTAATCGTGAAGCTCTTTTCGTATGTTTGTCACGAGAGTCCTTTCGAATTTTTATCCTTCGTGTTTCTGAACCGCGATCTTCCATACTGTAGCGTCTTTAGGAAAAGTGCGGAATAGCATGAAAGTAGTCGCACCGTTTCAAATACATATATTAAAATCTTTTTTTATTTTTGCATTTTGTTTTTTTCATCAGTTGAGATAAATGTCCCAATGGCCGGACATGTTCAAATTTCACACCAAATATTAACGAAACAGTTATTATTTACTAGTCTTATGAATGTGACTTATATATTAGCCAAAATATTATATTTGCAATAAACATTGCAGTTTTTTAGAAAAGAATTTTTTCTTTTTTCGAGAACAAGGAGATTTACTGCATTCTACTGAAAACCATTCTGTCGGGAAAGCAAAATATTCCCTTAAAAATATAGTATGGTGCGACTTAACACGCAAGCGGGAATTAATATTTTTTAGCGTATTTACTAGCGTATAAAGCGGCGAGAAGAACAAGAGAAAAGAAATATACGCAATACATTATTGCTAACGACGCAGAGCACAGTTGCCAATTGGAGGGAAGGGAGAGTAAGAAACACGATTGTGATTTATTTTGCATCGATGTTGGCGAGGCACGAGGACGACTCTGTATGAGCCGACACATATGTATACATAAAACATACATACATACACACACACACACACACACACACACACACACACACACACACACACACACACACACACACACACACAGATATATATTATATATTATAGTATATATAAAAATATATTGATCGTTAAGATTGCCACAAAATTTCACGGTGCTGATGGAAAAGAAAAGCATTTTTTTGCCATCAGCGTCGGGTTTTTTTCAAGCATAAGATCTGTAAATTTTCTTGTATGTACTGCGAATCTTCTGTAAGTAACGCGAAAATGGGATAAGCGATTTTGTTTAATTATGAATATACATGAAAACAGGTATATATTTAAGGGATTTGTTTGCGAAAAAGGTGGAGAAATTCAGAAATTCTGATGCGATGATTGTCACGTAAAGTTCTTTTTGCAGACAGTTCGGGAAAAAGTCGATTTTGCGCTTCATGTATATAATTTTTCTTTAATTTGCACAGTTAATTTAAATGTATGCGCATTTACCGATTATCCGACTTTTCAGTCAGACTCTCACTTTATTTTCTCGTGACGGCAAAGTTTATATTTTATAATTTATATATTAGCGCTCTCTCTCTCTGTTGTGTATAAAATATATTCTGTGAGAGCGGAACGATATGCGATTTGTCGGCAACGACGTGTGTATATTTACGTGAAACTGAGAACACAACCGGAAGTTGTAATGCGGTGTAATAATAATCAATCTTTACATGTATTACGTTACATGCGAGACTCGTTGAGGTGAAGAGTGGAATGCCTGAAAATTCGAATTCGATCGCGATTTATTTGAAGTTGAACAAAGTTGCAAAGTAAGAGAGATGGTTTAAATAAAGTCACAATTTTTTATGTAGATTAATTAAATCAAATTACTCGATGTAATTGATTTTGTTAGTCCCATATTACATAATACATTAATTATTTAATTTCCGATTTAGATAATTATCCCATATAATTTTGCTCGCGACGATAAACTTTTCCGCGCAACAGCCAAAGACATTTTACGAGCGGACTGTCACATTGTTATTTTTCATGTTCACGTAAGATATCGGCAACTTTGTTTAAATTTCTGAATGAATCGTGTGTGTCTCGCGTCGGATATCTTTCTATTCGAGCGACCCATATGCAGGGTGTATCAATAACTTCCTTAAAAATAGCTCCTTAATTTTTTTCGTATACTTTTTAGAGATGCGTGTTGGAAGCCGCATCGCAAATCCTCGGAATACACGATTGGTTTCACACTAGTATTATCGGGACATATCCGGTATACACACGTAAATAGCGCGCAGTGCAGATCGAAACTAGACGTAAGGACATTAGACGTAAAAGAATATTCTTAGCTATCTCGCCAATTTACGATACAATATTTATTGGAGGTCTTTTTTAAGAAAGACAAGGGAGGAGGAATAAAGCGGGGTTCTCTCTTTTGGACGTAAGCTTTCTCGATATCGTGCGAATTTGTATGAACGAAATAAATGTAGCTGTCACTCATCTCAATCGCGCTTACCGCAAGGTTTCCCGTAAATTAAATTATTGTGAAGCCGCCGTACCTATGTCCACGGGTATTCCAAAGCTTATATAAACGAAGTGTACTCGAGGTAATATAGTCGATGATGTACGGGATGATGTCGGGATTGATCAGATCGACAATTCGACGAAGAGCAGAAGAGGAGAAATCTGCGATGAAGGCGGAGGACGGTCCGGGTCCTCGAATCCGGTTCCTGGGACTCGCGCAGGATCCATCCAAGATGCGAGCGTCATTTATTTACGCTACGTTACAAATATACGATGGTATTATTAATAATAATGAATTTGTAGCAAATCTGTACAGAGCCAAATAAATCAAAAAAATTTCATAAACTTGTTCAGATCTTATTTTTATAACAATTACCACCAGTTTCTTTACCGCTGCCGAAGAAAATTATTTCCTTTAGATTGCTAATGATACAGGGCGAAATGCACTTATTCTTAGGAATTGTCGGCATTTCTGAGTTTTTTTTTTTTTGGTAAGGGCAATCATATAAATTTCTGTAATAAAATTAACATTTTATTCGAAAAATCGAGACATACACAGATGCGAAAACAATGATAGCACATTTTGGTAGCACCGATAAATAGACGCTGAAACAATATCTTTAGACTTTAGAGTGACTATGCGCGGGCTGATTGCTCGTCCGATCGATTGAGTCGTTCAATTTTATTTTCTCTCTCGGATGCGCTCATTCACCTCGATTGATTAATTGTCGAGCAACAGCTTTCTCGCGAATCGGTCGGAGCGACACAGGGTGTCCATAGAGTTCTTATCTATCCTTATAAAGTCAATTATTCGTTTTCAGAAGAAGAGTTCTCCACAATTAATTTGTACATTTAAAACTTAAATATTTGAGTACCAATTAAGAACATATTTCCACGAACTTTGATTTATATAAAACTCTTTCAGTCTTTTGATGTATGATAGACTTTAAATCTTATTGTTAGTCGTTTGTTATTTATGGAAATTAAATTTGATGGTTGTCTTGCAAGAACATAATAAGTAGTCTAATTATAAGAATAATTTTTTAACAGTGCAATCTGGATTCAGGGTCGAAAGCAGTTCGATAGTATTTTCTTTTTATTTCTGTTTTCCTTACTTTTTTATTTGATAAACTTCACATTTACTACTTTTTAAAATAAATCTTCTGACTTTCCACCTAGAGAGATAGATACAGATATTTTACGAACACGCTGTATTTTCAATTTACAACACAAATTCGGCCTTTTTCCTCTCCGACCGATAATCTCTCGCTGATTATTATATATTTCTAGAGCGGAATGGATATATAAATATATTTATACAAGATGTATCGTAAAGCGTCGGAAAACCGATACCCTTTATCACACAGCCTGTATAATGAAATCGCAGTAAAACCGTCCCCGTAATAGAGATAGGAAAAAGGAACTATCGAGGATATAATGGACTGATCTCCGATAAGCCATCTATTTTTGAATTTTGATCGATCTTTTATAATCTCCTCGTCCCGCTAGTAAAATTGCTCTCTTACCGCTAAGCTCGCCCTTCCTAAGGATATTACCCTTAAATAGCGCTATGTATGTACAAACGTAAATGAAGGAATCAACGTTGGTCACAAGCTTGACATAGTAACGGGTGTAATCGAGTGAGCATTGATAATAACGAATTTCATGCACTCGCTATGCGTACAAAAGAATCTGATTAAGGATGTATTGGCCATGCCAATATGAACTAAACATCGTCCCGATTCAAAAATAGTATATTTCTTATTTCATAAAAAACATTAAATAAATCAATCTGGATTGTGCAAAAGGTTTTAATATTACAATCTCACTCGTTTTTATTGAAGAAAATATTTGTCATTTATATCTTTTTCTGACCAACGATAAAAAAAGAAGTGATAAAGCAGTCTGAAATTTTTACGCCTTTGCCAATGTTTCAACATGTGATCCATACATCCTTAATCGAAATCAATAGTTGTAAGGATCATCGTAATTGCATACACGAAATATGAATTTCGTCGTAGTATTTAATTCTGGATCCTGGATCCAGCGAATCGAGAACCGGTAAAGATTCCTCGTTAACAGTGTAGAAATATCCGTGGCATTTTATTATTGGCACTACGATGCTTCTCCCCTTCTTTGATTCGATTTACTTGGATTTACTTTCCGTTGCGTTTCGTCGTCGATAAAAATCGCATTGTCATAGATACAAGAACGCATATCGACTCTACGAACTAATATAAGAAAGTCGTGCTCTCTTTCTCTCTCTCTGTGTGTTTCTCATCATAATGCTTCCTAATTATCTAATTTAAATTATAATTACCGAAGCATTGCCAATAGCTGCTCGATTTATCGTCGCTCGATGACGTCGTGATATTCATGGCAAATTCTCGCTTTGTAAATTTTTTTTTTCGTATGTTTTCGTTTCTACATCGCTACGAAGTAGTGGTGTAAGTTTTCGAGACGTTATCATTGGCACCGCGTTATCCATTGCCTGTTTTTCTTCTGTTAGAAAGAAATCAGCCTTTTGTAGTGTCGTTCCGTGATGCGGCCCGACTGAAGCTACGCTTAATATTAATATAGATTGGCGATTTTCATTTGATCCACCACAAGAAGCCTTTCGCGTTTCAGCCGAAATCATGCGAGCGCGTCGAGATAATAATGCGAGATCATATCCAAAAGTGACGATGCTCTGCGGTATTTCAAAAATTTCGTTTCTTTTTTTAACATATATAATTTATCACGCTTTTCTCATTTGGCACGATGTCCGTGTAGGTGGACGATTTTTGTGGCAAAATCTGCATTTCAAGATGTACTCGTTTTTTCCCACACATTTAAAGAATTGTACAGCTATAAAATGAATTTTGCGACTACATGTTAACATTATTGAATTAAATTAAATTAAATTAATTGATTAAACATGCTAATATTATCGAGTCCAATTAATAATACGAGATGAGAATTATGTCCACATACCGAAGAGTAAGGCAAGTGTTTCCTTAGCGATTATAAATCGATACTTGTGAACAAATTAAAATTCGGTATATTTCTTCAAGAGGTTCCTCTTTTAAATTTATATTATACAATTTTAATCGATTTTTTTTTCTTTTTTTGATAATATGGAATCTAAGCGTAATCTGATAAAGATTAATTGCGAGCACATTTGAGAAAAGTGCATCTCGCCTTTACATATAATATATACGATAAAATTTAAACGATGCAAAGTTGAACGAAGAGACAACAACGTACCCTAATTGTAAGTATTACTTTCCACTCCGTTCACCGAGGATCTCGAAATCATCGCTAATCCTTTCATAGAAAAAGAATCAGTAGGAAAAGAATATCATTGTAATAAAATAAATTGAAGTTTCTATCAGCTATCAACCACACACGATAAAATTTATCTGCAATAAACCTCGTCGTTATTATTACTCACCTAATTGTTATAATATACATTTGAAATAATTGCAATTAAAAATATTGAATTACTCGAATTCTTGAAAAATTATTATATGTGTTTGGTATTACTAAAAGGATGAAGCGGTTGATGACGATTTTTCGATCTCAATGAACGACTGATAAACATTTCACACTGCAGCAACGACGAAATCGAGGGGCTTCTGAAACGGCAGAGGGTTGCCTTGTTACGCGATATGCAGAATGTCGCAAAATAGAGTGTACATGAGTAGAACAACGCTTCGTTTCTCGCATTCGATTCTTTTTTGCTTCTAGAAGGAGAAGTAGAAACAGTCTTTGTATGTGTGAAATCACGCAAATAAGCGAGCTCAACGTCAAATGCCGAACTCATCCAGACCTACTTGATCGACTTTCGTTCACATTCTCGCACTGTGCTCTTGCACTTGGATGTCTTATCTTGCCAGACGATAGAAATATCGAAAAGATATCCCATTAGGGATTGTGCTTTCGATTCTTTATTATCGTGCAGATTTATTTATTCTTCCCGGCTGACACCACAGCACAGCACTTTCCCTTTCGTCTCCGATCTTTCTCGTGAGAGAACCTGAAGAAAATCGCAAATAATGTGTTTTGCGATCCCGAGCGTTTTGAGGTCTGTCTTCATCCAGATATGATCTTCATTCTTCACTCCAAACTAGTCGACATTGGTTATCTTCACCCTCGAGAAGTCTATCTCCAATTCCTTTGCTGAGAACCTGAGGAAAATCCTGAGCGACGTGTCTTGCGATTGCGAGCATTCTTGGATTTCTTTCCACCCGGATGACACACGATCTCTTTACTCCTGCTCCACGCTGATGTCCACCGTCCTCACCCTGGACGAGTCTGTGGGCAGCAGCTGAAGACGTTCCGGCTCCGCGTCCAGCATAATGATGCATATGAAGCTTTTGCCGGACGCCTGATCCCTAGGATATATGGTGACCGGCGCGAATTTGTCCACCGAGCCGTCCACGTAGGAGCAGAGCTTTCGATAGACCTGCGGGAAGTGTCTCCTGAGAGAGACACCTCGGAGCCTGAGCTGCTGCTGAATGTTGGTGAAGCTGATCTCGCGCGCCCTACGCGGCGTGTTCTGTCCGTTGTTTCCTGGCAGTGACGTCAGCACCAGGGTCTCCGGCGAGTCCATCTCGCGAGTGATGTTGCAGGGCGATGCGGGCGCTTGCTGTCTTCGAGCCTGCGGCGACGCCGACGACGACGAGGCGTGCTGCTTGGCTGCACCGTCCAGCCGGATCTTGGCGCACCTGGACACCAACTGTCTTTCCCATCTGACGGCTCCACTGGTCGGCACCTCACTCACCACGCACACCGCGACGTAAAGCACCAGCCGCGCCTCTGGATTGTACGTTTTGCAGAGGCGCATCAGCTCGGCGTACAACTCGGCACCCATCTCGCCCGGCAGGAGATCCGGCCAGCGCACGTACGTCGGCTCGCCCAAATCGTTGAAGCCGTTGCCGACGAAGCGCTCGGCCGCTTCCGGACTCGAGAAGAAACACTTGACCGCGCCGCGACCGTGCGCGGCGTAACCGCGCTTCGCGAGGGCCGAGATGTGCTTCAGGGTCGTCGGGTCCTCCTTCGCCGATGACAGAACCTGCCGGCACAGGCTGCCGGCCCGTGAATGCAGGCAGGTTCGACGATGGCGCTGCCAGTGAGCGCGTCGGCATTCCCGCGAGCAGTACAAGCAGGTGCAATTGTGGCAACTCTTGTACGTGCGCCTCGCCTCCGCCAGGCTCGTCGAGTTGCTGCATTTGTTGTTGCGGCAGCGCACCACCTTGTCCACGGCCAAGCTGCCGTTCGCCGAGTCCTGGGCGTTGTCGAAAGACACTCGACGATGACGCGGTGCACCACCTCCACGCGGCAGAATCGACGTCGACGAGGCGGCAGACGTCGCGCTGCGCGATGCGGGCAGCGTATCGCTGCCCTCGCTCTTCCGTCGCACCAGCTCGCCCGAGTAGAAACCCCGTTGGTCCTCCACGGTCGCCTGATGAACATCTATTACACTCCTAGCGGACTCTGCGACAAGTCAGGAGGATTGTCTACGTTAGTACGGCGAGATTATGCGGAAAGGATCGATGCAGAGGACAATGAGAGAGGTTGGAGAACGATCGTGATATCGATTGAAGAGCTCATTTTTCAAATTCTGTCAGATCTGTATATTTTTTTAAATCGATAACTATGCCTTACAAACTCTTCGGAGTAACGCATTAATTCTTTTTTTTTTTTTTTTTTAAACCTTACAGATCTAAAGCTCAATATTTCCTCAATACCGTCGTGTTGAATTATAATGCGAAGCAATTGTTTTTTTTTTTTTGGTCAGTACGTCGACATAAATTAGTTTCCTCGCAAGCCATCATTTACATGTCAATTTTTACTACAATTTTTACTACATGAGTGATGACACGAGAAAAAGCTATTTCATTGACGCATTATGGAAGAAAAAATACGATCTCTTGCACTTGACATCATAATTCAATATAATTGTAGCGGGGAATCAGAGCAGCTATTATGTATCTATCCAGTTTTATTCCAATTGGAATAATTCCATTTTTTGTCACTTGTTCTATTTTGAACATTTGGAAAATAAATTCTGAAACGAGCGGAATGATTCCTACATCTCGTAAGCGAAAAGTCGATTTCAATAAGAGTGAAAATTGACATTTACGTCCCCCCCCCACCACACACACAAATGAAAAGTTTGAAATTACTTTGATTTCAATAATTAACAAAAAATGACTTGAAAGGAATTTTATTGAATTAAATCATAAATTTGTTTGCATTTTGCCAATAGATGTCTTTTGGAATAATTTGTTCAATTATGTAATTTCTTTCCAAGTTATAAATATTGTATAATCAGGTGAAACATCAGATGACAATCATCCAGATTGATTAAATTATACTTGACGGTGTAGAATAAAAAATCAAAGTTAACAAGTTGCATTTTTGCCATTTTACATTTTTTTATTTTTAGAAAGATAAAAGCGCAAGGAATACTCGACACGATGCTGTAACGCAAGCGGAACGTGCTAAAAATAATTTTCCAAGTTTCGAATCAAAGTTCAGAATGGCGAAAGTTACACAATAGCTTACAATTTAGAAATGAGCTCTTGACTAAATTATTCTACCATAATGGTAGCATTGAATGACTAATGATGGTGTCAAACGATGTATCGATGCAGCAGTATGTTATTGAATAATAGCAATGAATGATTTAGTGTGGAAGAATGACGTTGAATATGAACGGAGAACGCAAATTCGTTCTCACTTGCCTCCGTCATCGTCGCCGAGAGTCAGCGCGAGAGACGCGTTAAGCACAATGACGTGATGATAGTAAGCAAGCCGTATGAGCGTGATGACAGTGATCGGCGTGACGTATATTTTTATAATGACGCACTCATATCTTTATATATTTAATATATATATATTTATCTCCCCCCTTCCCAAATAATGTAATTTCCCTTGCTATTCGCATTTTTCTTTTTTGTCAGTGGTAGCTTCACTTAGTGCTTGAAGCAATCGTGTAAGAAAACTAAAATACTAAAGCGAGTGACAACTAGAATGAAATTGTTTAATAAAGTGTTGGAATGCTAACTGAAAAGAAAAACGTAAAAACATGTTAAATTTTAATCTATAAAAAACAGAAACTTAAATTATGTAAAATATTTATATTAAATACATAGAATTTAAAGTTGTCGCAAAAATATCTCTTTCTTCCATAAATCTTTTTCGATTATCTTATTATATAAAATATTATTGTATAAAATTTTTAATTGGAATAAATCTAAAAAGACAAGTACAAAGTTGGAAGCTTAGTTTGTGTGTGGTAAATTTTACTCAACATCCTTATTTTAAAACTCTCTTTAGAAATTCTTGCGAAACAATAATCTTTTTTTGCATTTCATATTATATTTTGTTCTCCAAAAATATCCAACAGATGTATTGTTTTCACTTTTAAGCAAACATCAATTTGTAGATTAGATTGAATAAGATTAGAAAAAGCATGTTGTCGTAAGAGTGAGTGGGCACTGCTATCGGAGTGGACTGAATCTCTGCATCCAGCCCACTCCACGTGCCATCAAGCTTGATCGTGCACAGAATCATAGAAGGTTTGTCCTTTTTAGCCGCACTTTTTCATACTTTCTGCATTCAAGGTAAAAATGTAAGATTAAACCTATAAAAAATTAAATTATTACAATTCTTGATTACTAAATTAATTAATTAATTAATGATCTGATGAAATCCGATATTGGTTTTTAATTAGTTTATAATTTAAATAAAAGTTCTGAATTAAATTGCAAAAGATCTGCAAGATTGTAAAAGACAGGAAACTGCAGGAAAGTATAAAAAGCGCTGCTAGAAGAGGGACAGACTCATAGAGAGAGATAGAGAACAAGTACAAGAAAAAGAGAGAAAGAGAAAAAGAGAATGTCGAGAGAGTTTGGTGATTGTTGTCTTACGGTCTCGGCTCGTGTTATTAATCATGCGCTCCTAATTATTCGCGCGATAAGCAGCGAGCGGCTGCTGCGGCGGCCGGCCACGGCCAAACTCGTCCTCGGACTCGGGGGTGGCTACGACCCCGCGAGGGAAGGTTTTACACGCCCTTAGGCTCCCCTCTGCAAAGGTGCAAAAGAACATGAGTTCGGCGGTTTCGTCGAGACGCGAGACACGCGCGTTATCGTCTCTTCTTCTTGATGTCAGATGACGTTTCTCGTGGCGTATACATATCGACAGATTGATGATCAAGTCTGGACTCGAGTTAAAAAGCAGTCAACTTCGGTAACGTTTTATTCATGTTTCTCAATGATAAAATGAAAATCTTTTTCAGAGTGATAAGTCTCTTGTTTTTTTTTTCTCTATTCCCTGCGGCGCCAATAAATGTAATAATGTAAGGATGTAAAATGTACGTATGATATGATATATGTGACTTCGAGTACCATTCGTGGTATACTTGGTTTCTTCGCTAAACATGAGCGCAATCTTCGCGGGTGAAGGGTGAGGCGAGTGGCGACGAGGCGAAGAGAAACGCAAGTCAAGTTTTGCGCCGCAAAGCGGAATACGTAATCGGCCACGTGTGCATCGAGGTGTCAATACAAAGAGACAAACACGATTAAAATTTTCCAAGTCATACGTTGTATTTGACATCTTTATCTTGAGATTTCTTCAGAAATTCTTGCGAACAAACAATCATTTGTTCGCATCAGATTTTTCTTCGGAAATATTAAGCAAAGATATTAAAGACATTAAATCGGTAGAAAAGACTGCAGTATTGGCTGCTGCAGATTTTCGGCGTCGGGTAAGAAAAATTTGAGAGAAAGATTTCTTCGAAAATCTAAATTTGTAAAATAAAATGAAAAGTAAAGTTAAAACGCGAGTCTTTACGTGACACCTGGTGCGCACGCGTTCGTTCGTTCGTTCGTTCGGTTGGGGGGTTGATTGTACGGTAAGAGATTGAATCGTCCTTGGTACAGATCTGCCGATCAGAACGAAAACTTACATAGTCCTCCTACCTTGGAGGTCTTGGCGTAGGTCGCTGCAGCTCTTCCCGGCTTTCGTCTGGCGATGACGGACGGCGGACGTGGCGGTCACGACGGGTCCCCCCGGGCCAGGACTCGGGGTACGCGACGCGGGTGGCAGCCCCAGGAGGGAGTCGAGTACATCCTCCAGGGTCGTGGAGCCCGGGCTCGGTTTGTTCCGCAGAAGAGCTGCCGTCGCCATCGCCTCGTCCGTATCGCTCTGGCCCGATCCTGATCATCGGTATAATGCAGGGGTAAAGAAGAGACAGAGGTTTTTTTTTTTTGCGTCGTCCTCTTGGCCTCGAAAGTGTGCGTGCGTATGTTTGCATGTGTGTGGAGAGGGGGGATGAAAAGCGAGATAACCCTCTGTTCCATTTTCCCCGATTAATGATAAAGCGATTATTTTTTCTCGTCGGCCCCTTTAATCCGAGCTCGTTAGTTCCTTTTTACACACAAAAAACGTGGCATTTCGTGTATATATATGTGTGTATGTGTGTGTATGTGTGTATTCGAGTGAAAATGGAATAATCCTCTCCAAGCTTCCATCGACCCCGTTAAAAACAAAGCGATTCCCCCTTCCCATTGCATTTTTAGATCAATCTTGTTAATTTGCCCGATCCTGAAAGTATTTGGTCTTCATATTGAAGAAGTGATAAGTTTTTACAATCTTCAATGTGAGAAAAATAAGACAAACCACAAATATGTCGGCTAAAGTTGTCAATTTATTTCGCAGCTTGTAGTTCCAAAATTAATTATTCGGTCATGTGCTGGATCAAGTTTACGTTTCATGATTTTTAATTGTCGATCGATTAACGTCATTAATTGTGCTTCACGCGCGCATAACGACTGTCGAGCTACAAATGGAAAAATAACACACAGAATTTGATCGCTAAGTACATTTCAGTAAAAAAAAAAAGCAACAAAATTCTGCAGCACTTACCGTGACACAAGCAGAACGTGGTACACAATGCGAACGAGGTAGAGAGAGAGAGAGTGAGAGAGAGAGAGAAACGTTCACAAGTGATCGCGCGCTATTAAATCGGCTATTTCCAAGAGAATGCACAGATATGTACACAATATTTACAAGTGACAGCGACTTTTCGATGTGACAGTGACATTTCGATACAGTAAGAAAAAATTATTCATTTATCAATCTATTCACTAATCAAAATTATGAAATTAACCGATTTATATAACAAACGAAACAAGATATACAATATATACAAGAAAGAAAAAAAATAGCAATCAAAAAATATATGTAGAAACAAACGTAAGGAGCTTACGAAAGGAACACATAAAGTAGTGACAATAATTTATTTGTTGCCAAGGATAATAATTACGCTCTACAGAGAAATGATAATCGTTGGTGCGTCCGAACAATAAGTACGGAACCGTTCGAAAAAGAGACGGATGAGAGGCGCCGGACGCGCAGAATCATCGTGGGATCTATCGTTTCTATTGTCTCGTGATTCACAATTTCGTCTCTACAATATTACTCTCGTGTATAATCGATTCTAATAAAAAAATAAAACATCATTAAGGCACTGCAAAAGAGACAAAATGGAGACGATCGAGATGATCCAAGAACAATTCTGCGAGCCCCCGAATCATAATCAAAATAGTAACAATAAGAATGATACAATTAAAAATGAAAATGATGATAATAATAATAATAATAACAATAACGATAATGAGAATCAATAATAATAATAATAATAATAATAATAATAATAATAATAATAATAATAATAATAATAATAATATCGACGCGCTTGCAACATAATGAAACGGTATATGCGCGATACGCATAATTAAATCTAATCAATACACGTATGTACGCACCTGTACAGTTTCTACAGGTGTTATAACGTAAAGTAGACAGCTTTACAGTAAACATACATAAACGCAAATAGCTACTGACAGTGAGTGGGCGCGAGGGAGAAGAAGGTGGTTAAATTAATCTAGAATTAATATTTCGTCTACGTGATAATACGATACGTGAACGCCTCTTAATTATTAGTGAAGGGGTGGGAAGGGGAGCGAAAGATCGTCAACATGTCGTAAACAAAGTAAGAAAGTGTACTACAAAATTCTTCGCGGCGAGCTCTCTCGCATGAGCGATGATGAGCGTGAGAGAGAGAGAGAGAAAGTGAGTGAGTGAGAGACGAGAGAATGCGCGTGGAATGGAAAATTTGCCGTAAAGCTTTTTCCGTGTTGCGCGAAAAGTCCGCGAGAAGCGCGACTCGAAAGTGCTTCTTTTGCTCTTTCGGCTCGCTCGTTCATTCTCAAGAAAGTACTTGACTACGTCAAATTTTAAATGATTTCGTCATTTCTGTCGTCATTTTACCGTCATCCAGAATCTCGCTGCTTAATAAAGCCTGAGTGTCCATTCGAGAAGAGGTCATTCTCAACAGTAAAAGTTCCCGATGAACTGAGCCGACGAGTTACTCGGAAGTCCAACGAGTTTTACTATTGAGAATCACTCTCGCGCACAAAAAAAGCTCTCGAGTGAAAATACAGTCTTATCGTCGCTGACCCTCGTGATAAACTTCCGAGAACGGCCAATATATATATATATATATATATATATATTGGCTTTGCAAATTAATTAGCTGAGTCCTCGATGAAGCTCGATTAAGTCTTGCGCGCACCTGCAGCCTGCCCGCTTGCGCGTGACGAAAGCTGACGAAAACGAGGGGGAGATAACGATTATCGATATATGGCCGTAAGCTCTAATCGCCGTCGTGATGACGATAAAGAGTTCGCGCGGACCGGAAAGAGGATTACGAAAGCGCCTCCGGGAATTCTGCGCCTACGTCGACGAGATGAGAGCGCATCGAGTGCCACCCTTAAAGGGCGGCTGTGTAATTATGTAGTGTGACGCACTCAGCAGCAAAATAAGAATCTATTCTTCGACGAATTTGAGGAAAAGTTTCTGCCATGAAAATGCACAGCCCGGTAATCTAATTGATTAATTAATCACATTAATTTATTATTCAATGTCAAGCGTCTCCTGAGAGAAAATTAATATTAAAATTTGTATTATCTCATCAATATTAACTATGCTATTTTAAAAATTTCCTTGAATTATGTTATTACTGCCACGAGATTCGAGCACCAATCTCCGATCCGGGAGAAGAATCTCCTCGTAGATCGTCTTCGTCAGCTCTTTCGTACGCTCAGCGATGAAAAGAATACCGGAAGTAGCCGAGTGCCGGGAGTTTCGCGCGTCCGCTAGGCGAGCAGCAACTCACCGCGATGATGATGCTGCTGCTGCTGTTGCTGACGATGCTGATGACGCTGTTGATGATGGTGATGATGGTAGTTGGAGAAGGACGTGGGCGACGGGCCGGCAGATGACGTCTGCAGATGCTGATGACGCATGTCATCCCGGCTAGGCGTCAGATCCAGGTAGAGACCGGACGCGGCCGAGTCCTGACAGCTGCAGGACTCGGTGCCGGCCGCGTTGCAGCAGTCACCGGCCTCTTGGTCGGTCGTCAAGCTCATAGGCGTCTCCGGCGAGTCCACGGGCCGTGTGCCAACGAACGAGCTCTCCATCCAGCACAGCTTCACGCTCCCTTTGTGATGTCGACACAAATGCGAGAGCGATTAGGCCCGCGCCACGAGTGATCCTTCGAGGCGTCAAACTATTCTAGCCGCAATTTTCAGTTTTTCTAACTCTATTTCTTTTCGCGAAATCTATTTCAAAGATCCCCCGAATTTTTTTTCCAAAATGTAGCTCAGTTCAAAATTATCATATGTAATTAAATATTTTTTAATATTTTATGCGTCATGTTTTAAGGGTCCATCCAAATTTTATCAGATTCTAAGGATCTGACATTCATAATTAATTTCTCTTTAAATGTTTCCGAGTACCTGACATTACGACACGTTGTTTTTTTGTGTTAACATGTCGATAAAATTTATTCTCGCAGCGGATCAAACAGCTGAATAAAATAAAGCTGAATGTCGTTTTTTCAAGCGCGCAAAATACCGTGGAAGAAGCTATTGTGCATATACACGTTATATAATACCGCGCGGATTTATAATCTTTCGTTAAAGCTCTCTCGGCGATTAAGATCTGACAACCCGAGGTTGTTATTAATCGTTTTTATTGACCATGTAATCCGCTTAAGTAATAAATAATACGGATATCGAAATAAAAACAAAAAACTAAAAATAATTCAAAGTAGACTGAAGAGAACCACGCAACGATGCAACCATATGTGTTCAAATTGCATATAATAATTCTAAAAATAATCTGCATATATCTATCTTGAAAAATAGTGTTAGTATAAGCTAGCATAAAAATAGTTAGCATCAAGTTATACAAGAAATATTCCGAAAGTAAAATCAGCAAATTAGTTTCACCCTCTGATGTCGATACAAAGATGTTAGTATTAATGTTAGTACCGTAAGCGTTGTTAAAATGCGCATCACAATAGCATCATATCAGTTCAGATTCCACGACGATTCCACGAAGAAGATGCCAAGTTTATCGAACTCGCAATAGCGAGACGAAATAATGAGCGATTGTAACTTAATTCTTCTTTCCTTCACTTCGATATGTTTTTATATTCTATATTACTGGCGTGTGCGAGAGTTTGCACGCACCAAGAAGATGAGAGGAGACGAAGGAGAAGAGTGTACGAATTTCAGGGTAATCTATTTCGGTGGCGGCCAAGAGACTCTATCGAAATAGCAGCGACTCATCTCGACGATACGCTCTCTCGAATCGCAGCACAGCGTCGAGATTGTCGAAGATGAGAAGGTCACGATCCGCCGACCGATGCTTGCTACAATCTCACAACACTTTAGTGTGTTTCCAAGAGAGAACAAAATATAGTTTGCGCAAATTTTTTTGAAAAACATTTGTATTAATATATAATTAACTGAGAAAAATTAAATATATCGATCGTGCTTATCGATCACCTATCAGTTATTAATAAATGTTTCATGATAGCAAAGTATGATGTGTCGATACGAGCAATGATGATACAATATGATTAGAAATTCTATATATCTTCGAGTTTACCAAAATTTGTACAATAGTACAAAAATGATTTTCACCTTTGACGAGATGCGGAAGGCGGGAGGTACACAATCACCGGGCGATTATTTAACGGTGAAATTGTTTTCCATTAAAAGAACGAACTGACATCCCTGTATTTCGCCCACATACGCGACCGGGTCGGCAAATTTCATTGCAGTGCCTGGCTGACACTCGAAGAGCGCGGTACTAATTCCCATTAATTCCAAATTTAATGAAATTCATGTTAATCTATAATCTACATACATGATTATAATACTCAAATTTAACAGTCAAGGTTTTAAAATAAAGAATTCTAAGGGTGCTTGATTTATGAAATAAGACATTTCGACACGTTTATAGCAAAGGCGATATTAGGCCGAAAAGTTCACCTCCCAGAACCCTTAAAATTCTATCATCTGGAAAATCGGGGACACAAAGAAAAGCATTAATGACCGACCTGTTTTGACCTGAGCGATGCGCAGAGCCAGCTGATGCATACAGAGACAAAGAGAGAGACAGAGACAGAGAGAAAAAGAGAGGCAGCTTGCAAAAGGAGACAAAAAAACATTAAGAAAATAGGAAAACTCAAAATTACCTTCGTGACGGAGAGCAAAGGTGATGGTGGTTGGTGGTGTTGATAGGATGGTATTTTTTTTTTTGTTGGCTGGGGATGGTTTAGTGCTCACCTCTGGGGCTGGTAGACCTCGCTCCACCCCTGTCATTCCAATCTTCAGGTCGAGATCGAGGTGAAAGCGTGCCGCCACTGCCGACCTCCTGGCCGCTCTGCACGTAGTGCACGATGGCCGAGGTCACCTCCTTTATCGAGTTCCGTACCTCCAGTTGCTGATTCGTTGTCTGCTGTTGCTGTTGTTGTTGCTGTTGCTGCTGCTGCTGCTGCTGCTGCGAAGCAAGAATAAGGAACCGTTCCAGAAATACACGGATGCAACAATTGACCGAAATTAATTTCAGTAGAAACCATCACTAACCGCTTTGTCCAAATTTGATTAATAGCATAATCACAAGCAATTTTTGGTATTTCCAAATTTATAAATTTGTAAATATTACGACATGTTCTTTAAAACCATTAAAGTTAACATGAAAAAAGTTTTACATCTCTTTTAAAAAGCGTATCAATGCATGAAAAATTTGCATATCTCTGTGAAATTGAAAAAAAAATTGAAAAAATGTGAGATAGCAAGACAGTTGTATTCCTGCTTGAATTTCTAACTTTAGAAAGCGACGGCACGCTCTTGCGTGCTACCTGCGGAAATTAAAAATAAATTACACAAAGAACAAAATGCAAATTCTGCGGACCAGAAGCCGCATAAAGTAGCCCACAGAGTGTCGTACTGTTGATTCGAGGCGAAATTTCGCCTCCAGAATCCATGAATAAGTGAATGTATGATATAGTACATAAATGCGTAAACAGCTGAAAATATAGCGCGCACATAGGTTTATACATTCATTTCAATTGGCAAACAGGTCGGAACTCTAAAGCTTACCGACGCAAGGAAAATCGTGACGTCAACGGTGACGTCAACAATTTCCACGAGGCGTTTTACATTTGCCGAGTGGCGCGCACTTGTGGTGAACTAGATGAGGGATAAATGTGTAAAATATCCACGAAAGAGAGAGACAGTTTGCGATCGATGAATGCAAGAACTATTTTAAATTCTGTCTCCGATAATTTGCGCTGGAATTTATTTTACAAAATTTTCATAAAATTAATTCCAAAATAATTGGAGAATTTTCATGTCTGGGGGAATAATTGAAAATTGGAAAAATAATCAAAAGAGAGAACAGAAAAAAAAAACGATGGAAAAATCAATCAGAGAATGTTGTTTTTTCACATGTACTTACTTTGTTTGCAGCCTGTAGCTGAGGAAGAATACCCTGAGCAAGACGTTCCGCCGGTGTGCGCGGGTTGGTCAATCGTTCCTGAGAACGCCAGCCCAAGTAGGGCTGCCGATGATTGAAGGATGATCTGGCCGAACTCGCGGGTGAACTGCCGGCGCTATTCAGCAAGCTGGTACTCCATCTCGAAAATACGGGGGGCGTCGGGCTGGGACTCAAAAGGACACCTGCGACACAAAAATAATTACGCGCTCGATGCATGATTAAATTATCAAGACATTACATCGTGACTATGGTCGCAAAACCAAAGAAAAAATGTTGAGAATTTTTAATTACATTTTTTGACGACTAATTACTATTTATTGCAAATTTGTCAAAGATGGTCTCGGTCTCTCACCTGTGGTCGGCTGTCGATTGGAAGACGACGAGAGGGACGACAGGGAAGTGGTCTTGGAGCCGAGGGCGCGCCATCCTCCGTGCTGCGACGCGTCCGAATGTCTCTTCAGCCGGAAACCGTCGCGGGCAGCGGGTGAATTTTTGTACCAATCGGGCACATTGAGCCGTTGCAGCGATCGCTGCACCCTGAGCTCGTGCTCGCTCGGCACCCGCTCGCCCACCTTCTGTAGTTCATTTTCCGGCGGCTGCAACGACAAACACGTGTTCGTGTTCTATTAATATTTACTAATTATGTGCGATTAATCGAAGAATTCTTGCGGCAAATTGGAAGAAATACTTCTTGGTCACGCAAGTTCCAAGTGCATCTCAATAATGTGTGTATCTATGATATATATATCTATGATATATATGTTACATAAATAAGTAATCTAGCCCCCTACAACTTTCCCTCAAAATGTTCGGTTGAGAGAGATGGATTTTGATGAAGAGAGAAGGCGCGATCGTTTCGGATTACCCGGTGACGTGCGGCAACACAGAGAATGTGGCTGTCGTGCGAAGCGTCGTGCGAGACATCGATCCTGCTTTGCGAAAGTTTCAGGGACAAACCTGCGCCAAAGTCGACGCGACGAGGTCTTCGTCGCAGCTTCTCGCCGCGGATTCGATCAAAATTCGACACGCCGCGCTATTAACAAGCTCATGAGCCGTCATCGTCATCGTGCCGTGCGGTCGCTTCTCGGTCTACAATCGAGGATGTGAGTCCCCTTGAGACGCGTCGAGGGCAATCACCGCCGATCTGGGAATGACACTCCATTTTATTCGCGGACCTGCTTCTATTTTCACACTATTTTTCGGCGACTAAAGCTACATTCCCGGAGCTGTATATTTTGTTAAGTTCATTTTCTATACGCGAATTAAATACAATTGTATCAATTTTATTTAGCTCAATAGCAAAATTTTACGTAGATATTAGTGAAAAATTATTGAGATAAGTAAATATTTATCCTTAGAAAAAAAAATCTAGTTTCATCAATACTTCAAGTTTTGATAGACGTCGGTTTCTATTTAGAGGTCCGCTCTCAACTGCTCTCCTTGACTTTTTTCATTGAGTGTCGACTTTAATGCTAATCATGCGAGGGTCACATAACGAATGCACGTGACGAACGTACGTGTGATTTCCATGCACAAAGTCTAACGGGATTCAGTCGGAAAGCGAATGGCTTCCACGTCTCTCGCTCTTTCCGGCATCGAACGAGGGAGTGGTTCTCCAAGCGCACATGTGTGCGCGTATCGGCCTAAGGAAAATATTTTTCGAGACATCATGGATCGTTGAATTTCTCTTCGTATATATGGTGTGTGTCTGTGTGTTGCACGCTCCATAAATATTTCTTCAACTCGGCTCATTTCTCAACGTTGCCTCAAGAGATAAATGTTCAGTACAGCACTAATGTTCATTAAAATAGCGCTGGAAATTTAAATTAATTCGCAGAAATTTCAAAGTTTCGTTTAAAATTTAAAATACACACACATATCTGCTAGAATGACTAATTCAATAATCGATGTTTCTTAATAATTAAGTGAAAAGGGTTAATTCAATCTAAAAAATAAGTTCTTGCAGTTGATGCACATTTTTTCAAACTTTATCTCTTAACACATCGAGTATTAAAGAATATTTAGTTATTTCCGATAGCAAAAAAGTTAAGGGCAGAATTCTTGATCAATTTCGCAATCCCGTTCAGACGGCGAAACGGACAGTGGTGTAGGATTCTCGGAGTACGAGGCCAAGGCTGAAGCAAGATAGAAGCGGATTCGTGTGTGCGGAAATGTGAGGGGCGTTTACGTAATGCGGATAAGAGCGAGAGGCGTTCGTTTTACAGGATCGATTTCGTGAGCCGTTGAATTTTTAATAAAGCCGGCCGAAGAACTCGCCGAAAGTATTCGAATAAAGACCGCGATTCGTGAAATATTGATAAAGTCGCGGTACACGTGTACCGTTGCTCAACGAAAAACTATAAAAATCCTATCGACATAATATCTCTGATAAAATAATAATCGTAACGATATAATTATATATAATTATAAAGATGCAAATAAAGGTGATAAGTCTAGAAGTTGCATTAATGTAACAAAAGGAGATTAAAATAGATCGAGCTCGGCAGAAACGGAATCAAAGTGGCATTATATATAAAGGCTCTATATTCTGATTTAAAAAAGAAAGAACGCGCCAAGGTTCGATATCACGTTGCTAACGCTGGACGCGCATTGCGTAATGAGTGTCTCGAATGTCGAGATGCGGCAAGATGCAAGCGGTGCCAATGTTAATTACGGCCGTCGTCTTTTTCTTTTCGTCGCGTCGTCGCCATTGTTCCTCGTCAATTGACGCAAATTGGGGGAAAGCCACGTCAAATGCGACATAGCGCATCTGCCATTAGCCGGCCAAAGACCCCGCGCGCGTCTCTCTCGCTGCAAGTGCATGTGCATCGCGTTAATGCAGCATCCTGTTCTCGTCACGCACGCGAGTGCCGCTATCGCCGATATCGCCTCGAAACGCGCTTACGATGAAGTTACATTAGCCAAATATCTCACTTTTTCGTATAATTTTAATATAAAGATGAGAATTCTGTAATAAAATCTTCATGGAATAATTTTCTTAAAATACAATCTTAATCGAGTCTTAAGAGAGATCTCACTTTAATTAAATCTCGAATTGAAGATTAATTCAGGGATCAGACGATTTCACCGCCGTTTTTCATATCCGCTTAACTGATCACATTAATTAATTGTCAAACTTGCGTGCATGCCAGTTGATACGATATGATCTCACGAATATAAGTCTTGTAGCAGCTCGATTCTATAATCGTAAGAACAGAAAAAGGAATGCGCGCCGCATTTTGCCGCCATTCATTGTTAACCGCTATCGATTGCAACTGTTTTTGAAGGCTGGCCTTAATAATGCACTCACACGACGGCTGAAATTGCAAGACAAGAACTATTCCTCGGCCGCTCTTTGAAACTTTGGAATCGCGCGCGCTTGTCTAAATAATTTCTGCTGCTTTATCGCAGAAATAGTTGGTTGGAAGAATATTACGTTAGCGGAATGCAGCAGGAAAATAGAGTTAACTAGAATACCCGATCGAATAACTAATAGCAGCCTCGCGTTATCGATGATATACTCATGAAAGCGTCATATTATTCGTGCTTCAAATTTTTAGCTTAATACAAAATCAATATTGGACTTCATTAATATTATAATTAACATTTTACTTTATTATTAAACATTTTAATATTCCACGTTTTCATAAAACGTATATTTTTTCACAACTTATTTTCTTGTCGCGCCTCAAAATTGAAATTATGAAAAAAAACTGTTCTTTTTCATCATCAAAATTTTTATTTTTTTATGCTTTATTTCATTTCACCTTTTATTTTTTACTTTTAATACTTGCATTTTCTATTTTAAATTTTAATTTTAACGGTGATATTTATTAAAGCCACGTAGAATGCTTCGACTAAAATATCGTTTGCGAAAAGCGATTGCGCGTTGCGATTCGTATATGCGGCACGTATGTGCCTGTCGCATGCAAATGCATCGACATGCATGCTCATAAATGCGTGCGAACAATCCTTCGCACTTCGAGAACAAAAAATCGTCGTTTTATCACGCAAGAGAAGTAACCAAGAATCCGCGCGTCACGTGCAGCCTTTGTTTTGCAACTTTCTAGTCGTCGTAGGCTCTCGCGTTCATTGACGCGCACCGTGTCTGGGTTCCACGGTGACCTTCGACCTAATCGGAAAATGTTACACCTTTATACGACGTGTAATGAACCTTCAATCGGTGTAAAAATGTAATTATCAATGCCAGTTTCCACGATGTAAAATAATAAAATTGTAATTTTTTAAATATTCCTTTTAGAAGAAACTGCTGTGTAAATTCGTTAACGTAAAATTGTAATAAAGTTTGCCATTATTACGCGACTTTAAAATAGAACTTGCGCAAAGAATATTGAGTCCCTCGACGTTTACGACACTGCACGTGGCAGAGCCAGTCGTAGATACACGTGGGCATGAAGAGCGCCCACACGTCTTGGGTTCTCGCTCGGCCTTCGACTCTCTTGCCTGCTTGCGAATGTTAACGTTTCGTGCAACTACTTCTCTTTCTTTCGCCGCCCAGCACATAAGCAATCGCTTTAATGCAATCGACACAGCGATATTACGGAACCGAAAAAGTACAAGTTTGTTGAAAATAATTGATTTATCGAAAAAATTTCAACAAGAAAATTGCGATTAAATTTTAATCATTATTAAATTAAATTACATTACTTGAATTTACTGTAAGATTTTCGGAGTAAAACTCGACACTGAAACTATACACTTTCGAGCTGTCACTCGGATTAAAGCCTCCCCTATTGCGGTGGGGGTTGCTTCCCCTATTATGTGTCAAGATCTTTCACCCAAAATAGGGTATCAAAGTAGGTCAAACACAATGGCGACACAAGAGTAATTAACAAAGGATCAACCTCTGGACAGTACTCGATAATATTCTGATGTTCTTCATATTTATGAACGAAAGATTTACCACTGAAAGATTGAAAAGTGCAAATTATACAATAAATTTCCCGTTTGTGCATTAACAATAGAAATCAAATTAAAAAATAAATTTTCTAATTTTTATATTTAATTTTAATGAAAATTTTATGTAAATTCCATAAGCTGTTATATTTGGATATTTGGATATATTTTGCGACTGATTTAAAATTATCTTGTTCTAAAATTGTCCTATAATAGTTAATGCTTATATAATGATACTGATATGCGTCTAGTAAGCGGAATGCCAACTCCTTTCCCGAACTCGACATGCCAACTGCGGTGTGCACGCGTATTAGGGATACGGAGGTGCAGAGTTACATATGCAGGTGCAAAGAGAGAGAGAGAGAGAGACTTCAAATCGATCTGCGGGACCGTATTACACATGCGGCATAATGTCGCGTACCGACGCGACGAGACGGGACGAATGAGTGCTGGCACGGATCGCGACGTTTTCGTAAATAAACCGGAAGTCCTGGCCTAAGTAGCGCGGACTGTCGACGTCCGAGAAGTTCGTGCTCTGAGAGTTTGAGACGCCAAGAAACATTCAAGATTAATTTCCTATCTAATTAGATATTATTAATTTTTTAGATCAATCTTAGAAATTAAGTTATAAACAGAACAGAATATAATTTAATACTAAATTAGTTAAATATATCTTAAA